GCCTTGGCCTCCCAAAGTGCTGGGATTACAGGCGTGAGCCACCACGCCTGGTCAAGGCTTTTCATTTCTGCAGTCAAGTGGAACAATGACCAAAATACATAAAGTTAAAAAAAAAAAAAAAGCCCGCAGAACTGACTGACAGACTGCACAGGCGCTGCCATTTGTATTTTTAGGGCATGAGATTCCGGTAACAGCTTCCAATATTCCTCTGGGAACAACCCCTCTCCTCAATTCTAGGTCCCCCATTCACCCTCCCCACCCTTGATTCTGGGTTGGGTACTGTACCCCACCCCGCCCTACCCCAGGTCTGCCCATCTTCAGATTTCATGCCCCCAGGTCGTGCTGACGCCAAGGTGGACACAAAGCCCAGGCCAACAGGCAGAAGAACAATAAATCTTGCAAATCAATGGGGAAATGAAATTAATTCTGCTGCGACTGCAGCAGGGAGGAGAGCAAAGCAGAGAAAATTCAATCAAAGAAGTGAACCACGGAGCTCCTGGACTGGGCCCACCCCTACTCTGGGACTTTCTTTCCTTTTCTTTTTTTGGTAAGCAGGTATGGGTATGAGTTAGTTTCCGTTACTTGCAGCTATAAAGTCCAAATGATAATAGCTAGTGCTTCTTGGACACTTACTACCAAGCATAGTAAGGCACTATTTTAAGTGTTTTCTGTATATTAAAGCCTTTGATCCTCTCGACAACACTAAGGGGAGATTTTATTTCCCTCTTCCCATCTTAAAGACACAGCTGCCTTGTCTGCAGACCTGAGCTTGGCCAGTGACCTGAGGTTGGCCAGTCCTCAGACTCTGCTTCCTGCTGACTGCATCCAGCTCAGACCCATGCGCATTTGCCTTCAACTACACACACGTCCTGGCCATAACATCAATCCCATGACCCTCCGTCCCTTCATAACAGCACCAATGTTCCTCCATCCCCAACAAATCTGGCTTAATCCACAGTTCAGTTCACCTTCTCTGCTCCTACTCCCAGAAAAAAAAACAACAAATAGAGCCATGAAGACTGCAACCCACATTCCTGATGTCCAGTCAGCACTCCACAGTCCTAACTCAGGGTCTCAGCGGGGAGATGGGTAGGAGTGATCCCATCCCACCCAACCCTGGGGAAACGTGGTAACATCTGGTGACGTTTCTGGCTGTCACCACTGGGAAGAAGGTTGTGAGCTTTGGTATCCAGTGGCTTTAGGCCAGGGATGCCACTAAACCTCCTATACGGCACAGGTCAGCCCCTACAACACAGAATTATCGGGCCCAAGATGTCACTAGTGCAAAGGCTGAGAAACCCAGCTCTGTCCGGGTGGGCCCCCTTCTGTTTGCCTCACCAGCCACTCCCACACTTCCCCACCTTCCTCAAGTCCCCTGTTCCACTTCAGCCCTAATACTGAGGTGGCAGTGGTGGCACTGAAAACCTTGTTTGCATGTGCAGTCATCTTGATCTCCTTCCCCAGAGAGTCAGAAAAACAGAAGGTATCCTTCCTCTCTGTGAGGCCAGGTCCCTTCTTTTTGCACTGGCTCTGAGCTCCTTCAGCACCTTCAGGCCCCTCTGCAATGGATGGGACACTGGACCCAGAATCAGGGATGGGCAGCTCCCCAAAGAGGCATCAGCATGAAGAGGGGCTCACATGTCCTCCTCTGCTAAAACAATCTCCTTTACTCCTAAATTCCCTCTTGCTACCCTCTCCCTCCTTCCACATACAAGCCTCATGAAAAACGGCTGAGGCCACTGGCTGCACCCTCCTGACACATTTATTCTACTTGGCCTTCCCCAGACAAATTACAGTTCAAAGTAGGTGCCAACTTCTGAAAACCCAAGAGATTTCACTTAAGAACATAGGTTCTAGCTATTTCTGAAAAACAGGAAGACCTAGCAACTTTGGGACATTGCCCCCCAAGGCTGGAACTTAATACAATGTATATGCCACGAAAAAAATAATAATAAAAAATAAATTAGGCTGGGCATGGTGGCTCACACCTATAATCCCAGCAAGTTGGGAGGCCAAGGCTGGCGGATCACTTGAGGTCAGGAGTTCAAGATGAGCCTGACCAACATGGTGAAACCCCATCTCCACCAAAAAATATAAAAAATTAGCCAGGTGTGGTGACATGCCCCTGTAATCCCAGCTACTAGGGAGTCTGAGGCAGGAGAATCGCTTGAACCTGGGAAGCAGAGGTTTCAGTGAGCTGAGATGGGGCCACTGTACTCCAGCCTGGATGACAAAGCGAGACTCTCTCAGAAACAAATAAATAAATAAAAATTTTCAAAAAGCTGGAACTGGGGAGGCTGAGGTGGGAAGATTGCTTGAGCCCAGGAGGTAGAAGCTGCAGCAAGCTGAGATCATGCCATTGCACTCCAGCCTGGGTGACAGAGACTCTGTTTCAGAAAAAGCTGGAGTTGAAGAACCCTGTTCTTGGGCAGCCTCGGTTCCAGGTACTCCTTTTTCCTCCTCCACTCGAATGCTCAGGCTGGAGTGTAGTGGTGCAGTCTTAGCCCCACCTCCGCAACCTCCACCTCCATGGGTTCAAGTGATCCTCCCACCTCAGCCTCCCAAGTAGCTGGAAGTACAAGTACGCACCAACATGCATGTTTTGTTTTTTGTTTGTCTGTTTGTTTTTTAATTGTAGTAGGGACAGGGTTTTGCCATGTTGGCCAGGCTTGTCTTGAACTCCTGGCCTCAAAGGATCGGCTCACCTTGGTCTGCCCAAGTGCTGGGATTACAGGCATAAGCAAGCCTTTTTTTTTTTTTCAACTCCAGTCTATGCCTTCTGTTCTCCATGGCCTGCTAAAACTACTACCTTCTGTCTCTACTATTTAACTCAAAGATGTTTCATTAAATAACTGGTTGGTTACCAAATTCAAAGTTCCCTCTTCTCCTTCCTCATTCTATTCCATCTTTAAGCAGCAAAACTACCTTACATCCACACCCCTCCTTTGTTGTCAGTGGGTGTCCCTGCAGGTCTCCTCCTGCCTGTTTCTGCTCGGCCTTCAGTCTTCTCTTCCCATCTGCCTCTTCAGTGCTGGGGCTCCCCACGCTCTCTCTCCAAACCTCTGCTTTTTTTGTTTTTTGAGACGGAATTTCACTCTTGTCCCCTAGGCTGGAGTGCAGTGGCATGATCTCAGCTCACTGCAACTTCCACATCCAGGGCTCAAGTGATTCTCCTGCCTCAGCCTCCCAAGTAGCTGAGATTACAAACATGCACCACCAAAGCCAGCTAATTTTTTTTGGTAGAGACGGGGTTTCACCATGTTGGGCAGGCTGGTCTTGAACTTCTGACCTCAGGTAATCCGCTGGCCTCCACCTCCCAAAGTGTTGGGATTACAGGGGTCAGCCACCTCGCCGGCCACCTCTGCTCTTAATATACACAAGCTTGTCCGGCAAGCTTGTGGCCAGTGAACCAAAGACTCCCAAACCGTACATCCCACACTCACCCTCTCGGGTACCAACTAGCTGCCTAGAGAGCATCTCTTTTTTGACTATGCCACAAGCACCTCAAACTCCACATCTCAACCTTTTCTTCCTAAACCAGCTCCTCCTCACAGGGGAGGCATCTGTAAGCCACCAGTTCCTCGAGCTGAAAACCTTGTCCCCTGCCTCCATTCCAAGGCACTGAAGCTGCTGACTGCGGCTGCTCATTACTTCTCCGCTCCCCACATGGTCCTCCTGCAGCCCCCAACCACCACCAGAAGAGCTTTTTAGCTGCTCTCCCTGCCTCAAGTCTCACCCTCTCCACCCAATTTAGCACCATATGGCTGCAACTGACGCCTTTAACAGGCTTCCTTGATCAGACAGATTCTCCAGCTGAAAACTCCCGAACAGCTTCCCTGCCCTCGGATAAAACATAAACTCCTTTCTGCAGCACACAAGGCTCTCGAAGATCTCGCCCCAATTAGCCGTGCAGCCTCTTTCCCGGATTCCTGCGCTTTAGGCTTGCACTCCAGCGGACTGACCTACTTGTTCCCGGAGTGCTCCACATTCTCTTGTCCCCAGCTTTTGCACATGCAGTTTCTTCTGCTTGGAATGCAGTCGGCTGTGACAACACCCAGGTAAACAAACCAACTCCTACCACCACAGGTGAAACAAACGCCCTCCTCCTCCTCGCCAATCCCGTTAGTAAGGTGCTGTGACTGCCGGCTTGTGCCCACTAAAAAATGTTTTTGTGAGCAAGGACCCTGTGTTACGCATCTCAGTGTTCCCGGCACCTGGCAGGGCTGGGTACAAGGGGAATATTCTTTATCCTCTTTGAACCTCGATCCCGCATTGGTAAAACGGAGGTTAACAGTAACCCCTAAGATTACTGTGAAGCTTGCAGGAGACATGCAGAATAATTCTGGCCAAGGGGTTTGAGCCCAACTAGGGCTACATGAGACCCCCGTCTCTTCGAAAACAAAATAAAAATACATACACACGTTAAAAAAAGTCTGGCCATTCATCTTGAATTGTAATGAAGAAAAAAAAAAAGTCTGGCCAAAGTAAACACAAACAAAAGGCAAACAAGCTGTTTCTGACGCAGTAGCCACATATAGATTTCTCAGCCCCAAAGAGACTGCGTGTCTTGCACTACTGCGTCCCCTTAAGCCTCAACATCCCCGCTTCCCTACTGAGGTTAAGAAGCTAGCTCCGGGTGGGAACGAGGGCCGAGCCGCTGTGAGCACAGTGCCTGGCGCAGGGGAAAGCGCAGGATACTTAGCCATTGGGGTCCGGGTCGTGTATTGCAGCTAAGGTGGGGAGTGGGTGGGCTGTGGGGTGGAGGAGTTGGCGGAGGGGGAGGGGCAGAGCCCAGGCGTGGGCCGCAGCCCCGGCGGATGCTTGGGGTTCCTCTCGGGGGACCACTGGGCGATCCTCCCCTCCACGCCGGGCCCAGAACTCCCTACTCCGCCTCCGGCCTCCCCTGCCGCAGTCCGCCCCGAAGCAAGGCCCCCGGAGGCGGGAAGCGAGGCCTCACGTGCTGCGCAACACCGGCGCCGATGGCCCGCCAGGCTACTCACTGAGCCACAGCTCCAGCGCCGCTGCCGGGCCCGGGGGACCCTGGGCCGACTCGGTTCCCGCCACGGCCCCCGCCCCTGCAGCCACCGCGGTCGCCGCCATCGCCCCAGCCCCAACGCTGTGACGGCGGGAGCCACTGCCTCTTTCGCTGCCGCCTGGCGCGCTCTCTGGCTGACTACGCGGCAGGCGCTGTGGGCACGTGACGGGGCGGGGCCTCCTTGCCACGCCCACTCCCCAGGCCCCGCCTCCACGCGGGCATAGCCGGGATATTGCTCAGCTCAGATCCCTCCACCCGACGCGGGTCTTCTGAGACCACTCACAGTACGGTTGACAGATAAAATACAAGACGCCAGGCTGGGTGCGGTGGCTCACGCCTGTAATCTAGCACTTTGGGAGGCCGGGGTAGGCGGATCACCTGAGGTCAGGAGTTCAGGAATTCGAGACCAGCCCTGACCAATGGAGAAACCCCGTCCCTACTAAAAATAAAGAATTTGCTGGGCATGGTGGCATGTGCCTGTAATCCCAGTTATTTGGGAGGCTGAGGCAGGAGAATCACTCGAACCTGGAGGCTGAGGTTGCAATGAGCCGAGATCGCACCATTGCACTCCAGCCTGGGTAACAAGAGTGAAACTCCGCCTCAAAAAAACAAACCAAAAAACCACGACACCCAGTTACATTTGATTTTCAGATGAACACGAATAATTATTTCAGCATTTTTATTTTTTATTTTTTTAGAGATAGGGTCTTGCTCTGTCACTCAGGCTGGAGTCCAATGGCATGATCGCAGCTCACTGCAGCCTCCACCTCTCAGGCTCAAGTGATTCTCTTGCCTCAGCCTTGGGAGGAGCTGGGACTTCGGGCAGGCACCACCATGCCTGGCTATTTTTTTTCTTTTTTGGTAGAATCTGGGTTTCACCATGTTGCCCAGGCTGGTTTGAACTCCTGGGATACGAGAGATCCTCTTGCCTCGACCTCCTACAGTGCTTGTGTTTTGTTTTTTGGGGTGTTTTTTTTTTGAGACAGAGTCTCCCTCTGTTGCCTAGGCTGGAGTGCAATGTCACGATCACAGCTCACTGCAACGTCCGCCTCTTGGGTTCAAGCAATCCTCCTGCCTCAGCCTCCCAAGTAGCTGGAATTACAGGTGCATGGCAACACATCCAGCTAATTTTTTTGTATTTTTAGTAGAGATGAGGTTTCACTTTGTTGGCCAGGCTGGTTTTGAACTCCTGACCTCATGATCCACGTGCCTCATCCTCCCAAAGTGCTGGGATTACAAGTATGAGCCACTGTGCCTGGCCTATGTGCTTGTATTTTTGCTTACAGAAGGGTTTTCCTGGAACACTTATAAAATAACATGTCCTGCATTGCTTAGTAGTCTGCTTTTTCTGCATCACACAGTTTAACATCGTTGTATTATTTACTTACTTTGTTAGGAGATAATTTTCCCAAAAAAGTATGTCATGATTCTCATAATTATGAAATGAACGCATGTTAAATATTTTATTTAATTACATGAGGGAACCAAGCAGATGTCATAATCAATCCAAAAGTGAAGTCAATGAAGGGCAAATTTATCTGGAAAAAAAGGAATGTAAGAGGAATGTGCAAATGGATGAAAAATGGGTTTTTCCACCTGGGTGAGAGCTGTCCCTCCGGTGGGCAGAATTAATTTACCTATTTATGGGCAAGAATGATTTTGCATTACTATCAGCTATCTACAACTTAACAGAATTATAAGACTTCTCAAAGACAAAGAAGGGCTAGAACCTCAAAGGTTGTGCTGTCTAGACTGCATAATTTTCCATCGATTCTGTTGTGCCTACCCCTATTAATTTCAGTAGGGATGGACCAAGTTTGAAAGGCGGAAGAGATCCGGAGCCACTGAATGAGGCAGGAGGTTTACTGAGGCGACTTACAGGGCAGTCTAGTGATGGTGGGCTGGACAGAAACACTAACATTTATAAATAAAAAGCATCAGTTTTTATAGACCCTCCTTCCCTCTCCCTCTCTCCCTCTCTCTCCCCCATCCCTTTTCCCTCTCTCCCCCATCCCTTTTTTTTTTTTTGAGACAGAGGCCGGGCGTGGTGGCTCATATCTGTAATCCAAGCACTTTGGAGGCCAAGGCAGGTGGATCACCTGAGGTCGGGAGTTCAAGACCAGCCTGACCAACATGGTGAAATCCCGTCTTAAAAATAAATTAAATTTTTTTAAAAAAGAACTTCATATATATTATCTATTCCAATCCTTACAACTCTTTGAGACAGGTAAAATTCTATTTGTTTTTTCCTTTGAGAAAGAGTCTTGCTATGTCGCCAGGCTGGAGTGCAGTGGCACAATCTTGGCTCACTGCAAACTCCATCTCCCGGGTTCATGCAATTCTCCTGCCTCAAACCTCTCGAGTAACTGGGACAGGTAAACTTCTTTATCTGCCTGGCGAGACAGGTAAAATTCTTATCCCTGTTTTGCAAACAAGGAAACTGAGATACAGAAAAGTAACACGTGAATAAGGAGCAGAATGTTTCTGAATCTACAGTCAGCCTCTGTGCCCTTCGCTGCCGCACTATACTCTCAAAACACCAGGGATAGGCTTGAGGTTATTTAAAACATGTGAAGGCTGGGCATGGTGGCTCACGCCTGTAATCCTAGCACTTCGGGAGGCTGAGGTGAGCGGATCACGAGGTCAGGAGTTCAAGACCAAAGTGGACAACATGGTGAAACCCCGTCTCTACTAAAAAAAATACAAAAATTAGCTGGACATGGTGGCTTATACCTGTAATCCCAGCTACTTGGGAGGCTGAGGTAGGAGAATTGCTTGAACCAGGATCTGGGAGGTGGGTGTTGCAGTGAGCTGAGATCGTGCCACTGCAGTCCGGCCTGTGATACAGAGCAAGACTCCATCTTAAAAAAAAAAAAAAAAAAGTATGAAATTCCTTCAAACACTTTTACTTAGACAGGTGTGGCAGCATGCACCTGTGATCCCAGCTACTCAGGAGGCTGAGATGGGAGGATCACTTGAGCCCAGGAGTTCAAGTTGCAGTGAGCTATAATTGTGCCACTGCACTCCAGTGTGGGTAACAGAGCAACACCCTCTCTCTTAAAAAAAAAAAAAAAAAAAAAAAAAAAAAAAAAAAAAAAAAAAACAACAACAACAATAAACCAATCCTACTGATCCTGAGCAAAACCCCCAAACAGAAGACAGACGTCTGGAGCTGCTTTCCAGACAGCACAGCACACTCAACTTGAGGAAGGAGCGGCTTTATTAATTTCACTTTTCTTTTTGAGGCAGAGTCTTGCTCTGTTCCCTAGGCTGGAATACAATGGGAGTTAAAGTGATTCTCGTGCCTCAGCCACCCAAGTAGCTGGGATTACAGGTAAGTGCCACAACACCTGGCTAATTTTGGTACTTTTTAGTAGAGAAGAGGTTTCACCATGTTGGCCAGGCTGGTCTAGAACTTCCGGTCTCAAGTGATCTGCCCACCTTGGCCTCCCAAAGTATTGAGATTACAAGTGTGAGCCACCGTGCCCAACTTTAATTTACCATTTTTTTAAAAATGTGGTAAAATACAGAAAATATAAAAATGTACCAACTCAGTAACTTTTAAGTGTACAGTTCAGTGGCATTAAATATCTTTACAATGTTATGCAATTATCACCATTGACCCCCCCGCCGTAACTTTTCGTCTTGTAAAACTAAAATTCTATACCCTAAACAGTAACTTCCCATTTCTGCCTCCCAAAGCCCGACAACCACCATTGTACTTTCCGCCTCTATAATTTTGATTATTTTATGTACTTCAAATAAGTAAATAAAATTTTTTTTTGAGATGGAGTCTTACTCTGTCGCCAGACTAGAGTATACATGTCATGACCTTGGCTCACCACAACCTCTGACTCCCTGGCTCAAGCAATTCTCCTGCCTCAGCCTCAGCCTCCCGAGTAGCTGAGATTATAGGCAAGCGCCACCACACCCAACTAATTTTTGTATTTTTAGTAGAGATGGGGTTTCACCATGTTGCCCAGGATGGTCTTGATCTCCTGACCTAGCGATCCGCCTGCCTTGGCCTCCCAAAGCGGTAGGATTACAGGTGTGAGCCACCGCACCCAGCCTGGAGTAAAATCTTATACTATTTACCCTTTTAATTTAATTGTATTTATTCATTGTTTTTAGACACAGGGTTTTGCTCTGTTGCCCAGGCTAGAGTGCAGTGGTGCATTCATAGTTCACTGCAGCCTTAATGCCTCAGCTCAAGTGATCCTCCTACTTTAGTCTTCCAAGTAGCTGGAACTACAGGCATGTGTCACCTCACCTGGTGACTACAAACTTTTATTTTTGTAGAAACGGGGTCTTGCTACGTTGCCCCGGCTGCTCTCAAACTCCTGGCCTTTGGTGAGCCTCCCACCTTGGCCTCACAAAGTGTTAGGAAGTATTTGTCCTTTTGTGGCTAACATTTCATTTAGCATCAACTCCTAGAGGTTCATCCATGTTGTAGATAAAGAATCCACTTAGCCACAATGTGAGTTTGGCCACTCACATTGTTAAAAACACTCACATTCTTGACCATCAGCCAAGGAGCTCCTGGTAACTATTCTTAATGTCTTAGAAACAGATGCTCTGATGACACTCAGCAGATCAGACTTAAGCTTAGACTCTAGATTGTGACAGACCTGAGTTTAAATCTTGGTTCTGCCTCATACTATAACCTCGGAAGTTTTCTTTTTTTTTTTTTTTTTTTTTTTGAGACAGAGTCTTGTTCTGTCATCCAGACTGGAGTGCAGTGGCATGATCTCAACTCACTGCAACCTCCACCTCCTGGGTTCAAGCAATTCTCTTGTCTCAGCCTCCCGAGTAACTGGGATTACAGGTGCATGCCACCATGCCTGGCTAATTTTTTGTATTTTTAGTAGAGACAGGTTTTTACCATATTGGCCAGGCTGGTCTCAAACTCCTGACCCTGTGATCCACCTGCCTTGGCCTCCCAAAGTGCTGGGTTACAGGCATGAGCCACCGCACCCAGCCAACCTAGGAAGTTTTATTTAACTTTTCAGAGCCTCAGTTTCCGTATCTGTAACTGAAAAAAAAAAATACTGCTTCTCTCACAGGGTTATGACAAAAATTTACTGAGATGAGGCTCATGCAAGTGCGTAATAAACCACAAATACTATTGTTACTGTCCCCTTCTGTGGTCAACCACC